TTCTAACCCTGTGAATGCTATAATTTTTTCATCCAACATTTTTATCACATTTCTGTGTCATTTCCTGTAAATTGTTTTGTCAATTTTGGACCAGATGAACATTATTCCCCAATGGGCCATTCCAGTTTATATCTGCACCCACACCCCCCCTGTTGATGAGGTCGGATTTCCAGCACTGTATGATGGGGAAAATACCCCGGATTTCCAACTGTATATGGAGAAACAGAATCTGGAAATCCAGACAAGTATGGAAAAATAATTCTGGAAATCCAGGCAGTTATGGTTACTAAATAAAATATGGCCTAGTTTATCTCGCCACATACCGGTTGATGAGGTTGGATTTCCAACACTCTATGACTAAAAAAACTTGGAATTCTGACTGTATTGGGCCAGTATGAAATAGATAATGATGGTGGGACGAATGAGCTCATCAACACTGTGAATCAGGACTAGTTTGGATTTCCATTATCAAATATAAAATTGCAGATATAAACTGGAATGGCCCAATGACCCGTGGTCAATTTGAAAAAATCGAGTATATTAGAAATTTGACAAAAGCAGACTTTGTCACTGAAATGGTTAAGCAGTGATTCCCAAGTAATTAACTAAATCTGATACATTTTGATTGATGTAATGTGACAATTCTAAACTTCTGATTATCAAATCTAATTCTAATGGTTCCAAAATTAGTTGGTCAATACAGCACATATTGTTCAGCTCAGGAGTTATCAATCTGATTAAATCCAATGCAGGTATAGGCTCCATTTAAAAAAAAAAATTTGTTTGTGTTATTTTGGTTTTATCTGCGTTATTAATTTTTTTTAATATATTGTATCTCAGTCATTGTAGTTTTGATACAGACACAAATGTAATACGGTTACATTGTTATTGTGAAACTATGGGTTTTACATGCTTTGTCTATGTTATATAAGATCACTATCAAACATTGTGTGACTGATAAATAAATGAATTTAAATGAAAGTAACCAATTCAAACTTGTTTCTTTGTCTTTATGTAGATTGTAAAACACTATGGTTGTATTTATACATGTATGCTTGGTTTTAAAAATGCTATGCTTGTATTCATACCCTGATTTTGAACTGATATTGTAATGCTTACACCAGCATTTTCAATTTTACATACTGTATAATACTATATTTTCGCTGAAGGAATGATTCAGCGAAAATAATAGCCAGCGAATATATATATTACATTCAACTTGTCAAAAATAAATTCCATACAAAACGTCCAAAAGTCTTTTCAGCAAAAATTTATCCCAGCTAAAATAAAGTATTTTACAGTAATTTGCAAACTTAGTTTTGTATAAACCAGACCTTAGTTGACAAAGGAATAGTACTTCTGTTTCCATTAAAAAAGTTGAACAATGTTAGATTCAATTCAGCCACAGTAGTTGGAGCTTCTAATCATATGAGCTATTGTGGATTATTTGGTTGGTTCGTCACCAAAAATTGACCATATCATTTTATTCCTTTAATAGTATTGAACTTTTCGTAAGTCAGTGTTTATGCAAATTAAGTTTGGTATAGGAGCCACCATGGAACAGCAGTGTGGACTGAATTTCATGTTCTTGGTCGTAGAGTGTACCCTTTGTCATGTATTTACAATTGCATGCCTTGTGACTTCACAACCTGTAATGATTACATTGGCCGCATGCAAATGCTGCTCTAGAGCCATGTCTCAGACATACATTGACTAATAATCAAACTTTCATTATACATCACGTCATTTCAGTTTGGGTTATCTATTAAATGAGGGACTGGGTCATCTCATGACATAAATTGATGTATAATTGTGAAGTGAACTCACAAGCAACTTTGAAAAAAAGCAAACTGAAAACCTGCAATTTTGTGTCCTGTGCTTTTGTAAAAACAAAACAAAAATGTTTATTTCAGTTTATAACTTAACATTTGGAAGCCAAATACGTTCATGTGAAGAATCAATGTTTTTTACATGTAAACATCACAGCAACACATGGAATGGTTGGTCATGCTTTTCTTTTTAAATTTATTTGCAGCATTGACTATGATCAGAACCAATGGAAAGAGCAATATTCTCCAATCTTTGGTGTGACACCAACATATAACAATGATATACCGAGATTTACTGCTTAATTTTTTGCCGCTAGGAATTTTTCAAGAATTTATGGCATTTGTGAAGACAAATTTCATACCTTTTCGTAGGATCTGAGGTAATGTTACTGCTACAAAATTTCATGATTTTTACTGACTTGTGAAAATTTGTTGCTAGTGAAATTAAAGCAGTACAAGACAATAATAACAAGACAATAAAAACAAATTTGCATATTTTTTAATTTTTAAAAAAAAAAAAGTTTTGTAGATATTTCAAGAAATATCACAATCATATAAAATACACTAGAGTAAATAAGGTACAATGTAAATATTAATATATGTATAGAAATATGGCAGCCTATAAACTTTTTATACATTTTGGTTTTATCAAAGACAAGTATAAAAATGATATAAATATAAGATAAGAAGTCAGCCTTCAAGACCATTGTAATACACCATGGGGTAAAAAAACAAAACCCATTGTCTGTGTTGTATACAATTTTGTTTTGTCTTTTGCTTTACATCAAAATTGAAATCCTAAAACAATTTATATCATAATTAATCTGAGAAATAAAATATGTCATCAAGTGTATATAATACTGAGTAACTTATTAAGTAATATAAAGAAATT